TAATGAGGTTCTAGTTTTGAGTTGGAAATTCCATTTAGTGCCTTTCTTAGATATCTAGGGTTTTTGAAAATTATAGGGAGGGTTTATTTATAATAAAGAGGTAAATGGAATTAGATATTTGTCCCAAAACCAATTTTTTTTGTTGCACAATCCATGTGTTTTTTCAAGGTATTTTTGGAAAATTTTAATATAAAAAAGTGATTAGCCAAATTTCTATAATGGTTAATTGAGATATAGGACATTTAGTCCCTTACATTTTTTGGTCAACATTACACTGATATGTCACATTTACCCTTTAAAAATTAGTCACGTGACCTGCTCGTGACTAGTTCTGGCTAAATTTCGAACGGAAAAGTAATCAAGGACCAAAGTTGATCATTTTTAATTTGTTAGAGACTAAAAGTAATCATTTTCATTCTGCGGGACTAAATTTTCACATCAATGATATGTGAGGGATGATTTGTGCAGTTTTCCCTGCATATTAATAATTAATTTTGTATATATTTATAAACTAATATCCTTGAATACAAACTATTTAGTTTGAATTGGAATATGAATTTCATTTGTCACATTTGTGATTTATTTAAGAATGCTAATCTATACACTATCAGTGTATAGATTAATCTATATATTTATATAAAAAAAAGATAAATAAAAGAACAAAATTAAACTATTTGATCCATTCAATTAAGAGAGTATTTTAGAAACCTCCCCTGAGATTTTTTGCTAATCACACTTAACACCCCTCAATTTTCTGAAATCACACTTGGCGCCCTTGAAATGACAATCTCTGTAACATACTAGTCCTTTTATGTAAAAATAGTATTAAAAAATGTATTTAGGAGAGGGACTATAATATTCTTCTAATTTTTCCTTTTTACAAGTTGATTTTTGAATTTTAGAAGATGAAAATGAAAACAAATAGGACTGCAATATTTACTTAAAAATTGAAGGGTGTAAGTGCAATAACTGTTGAAATGTATATTTTTTATTGATTCATATGATCGTTTTAAGATCTATGCCAATGTTTTAGATAGAAAGGAAATAAGATTTTATTTGAATACCATTTGTTAACCAATTTTTCAAAAAAATTGTTTTTGATAATTGAATACCAACATTTAATAAGCATTTCTTTTCACGATTGCAACTGCATCCTACCTTTTCATTCACCAAATGAATGATTTTGGCCTATTTTTCCCTTACCTCTTCTGGATTAAACGAAATAACAAAAGAAATCAGAGTTAAAAAAAGATAGATTTTCTATGTTTAGATTGTCTGAATACCTCAAAACTTATCTTCGGTTGCATATGCAAAAAAAAAAGAAAAAAAGAGTGCTCAAAATGTGTGCAATTTTTGTGGCATTTTTGTTATTTTCTTTTTACATAATCGAACTTAAATTTTTTTCCTTTTTCTTGCCTTTTCCTGCATAAGAAGTATGAAAATGGCAGAAAAAGAATCAACTTGCTTTTATTTTCAACTTGTAATTTTCAAAAATCAACTTGCAAAAAGGGCAAATTTGAAAGAATATTTTAGTCTCTCTCCTAACTAAACATTTTTAATACTTACTATTTTTACAGAAAGGGGCTACCATGTTACAAAGGTTGTCATTGTCAAGGTGTTAAGTGTGATTTCGGAAACTCTAAGGGTGCTAGGTGTGATTAGTGGCAACCTCAATGGAGGTTTCTAAAATTATCCCTTCAATTACAGCAATTAGTCTGGACACACTACTATCACATATTTTTAGAAAATTACAAAATACTCCAATAATAGCTTCTACCACTACCCATTAATGAATTTACCTGGCTAGTTATCCCAAATATCTAATCATTGCCATTTGTCATGTGCCTTTGCCTCTGACGCACGTGTAAGCATCCTTTATCGCACCCCACGATACACGTCCATCGTCAATTTTTGTCATATTCGCCCATTCACATTTCACACTCCTTCCCCAGCTTAAAAGAAGAAATCTATCACCATAGTCATTGTCCCACGTGTAACATCCCCACCAACAGATGCAAAATTCCCCCACAGGAATATACTTCGCACCAAAACTGACCCTAGGCTGATAGCCTAATACCCCACTTTAATCCTTGCAGCATCCTTCTTTGCCATTTTCAATTTTTTTAATTAAATCCTTGTAATATATATATATATATATATATTATGGAGGATCAACAGTGATTTTTCACTCACTTTATAAACAAACGTAGCGACAATGGCATTCAACCCTTACCATTAGTTGGTTTTGTTTTTGGATTTAATTGGTTTTAATCCTTGCTAATCAATAGAGGGATGACTAATTAGCTTTTGTAATAATTTATTTTTAGGTTGGTCACATACTTCTGCCGCATTATGTTGCTTTGCTACCTTGTTATTATTTTTAGACTCTCAAGTCTAAAACCAAAATTTAAAATATAACTAACATGCAAGATTTCTTATATTTAATAATAATTTTTCTATTAAAAAATCCATGGTCGGTAAGTCGTCGTATTGTAAATATATTCTCATATTGATTCCCCATTTTTGGTTATGTAGATTGAATATTTAATCTGGCATTTCACAAGCCATGATTTTATGATATTTTTACAATCTCAAGTTTAAGGTTTATAGTGCTGGATTTTTTTTTTTATTCTAGAAAAGATGAAACTTTTCTATTGTAACACATTAGAACTTACTTTATTACAAGACTTATTCATGCTAACTCTGGTACATAAGAAATTTCAATTATTTTGTGATATTTGAATTTAGAAACATCCGGTTAGATGAAAGTTCATGGAAATGGGGCAGGGACGGTCAGCAGTATGACCGTCCCTGAACGGTTAATGGCCACGATCTGGCCTCAAAAATTTGTGCGGCTGAAATTACAAGTTGTAACTCGATTTTCACGTCATGTGTGGGTCCCACAAAAATTTACTCTAAAGTTACGCGATGTGCAATAAAAGTTACACGATTTACAAAGAAAATTACGCGCAGTCGAAAATGGCCAAAACCGTCCGGGCCGAGTCCGAAAGTTCATACATCATACACATGTTAATTCAAGAAATAGACCAAGGCACCTCCCTTTAGCTTCCTAGAAATCATTCAGGCTGTTATGCATGATTTGAATGCATTCATTTAATTTTCTTCATATATATGTATATATAGGGTGAATGCATGTGTGTACTTCAAATTATATACACATTTTTTTGACCATTTCCTTCTAAATTTTAGAGTATTATCTAAAAAGGATTATGATTAACAATAAAAAAAGTTCAAGAACAGTTGAAAACAGAGACACCCGACTTCTGCGTCTTGCGCGGAGTTACCCTAGCACTAGACTATAGTTAAATCATGTCTGCCCTGAACAATACACATTGTACAGTAGCAGATGAAAGCCAGTAACACATGTAATTATTATGTATCAATCTGCATCTGCATAATGCAGTAATAACGTCTTTGTTTGTCGGTTGGCCTTGTTTGAATAGAGATTTTTTACCAAAAATTTTTACATTTACTATCTTAATTATATCAAATCGTTATAATATATTTTTTATAAATATCCTAAAAAATTACAATCAAAACACAATAATCTATTTGTTTGGATAGGAGTTTATTTGGATGATTTATTTGAGATAATTACTGTAGCACTTTTTGTGATGTGATGTATGTGAGATAAAAAGGTGGTTGAAATTTGTGAAGCAAATTATTTTATCTGAAATCAAGTTAATCCAAACAAACCCATATCATCAAATCGCTATAATACTTTTTGTATAAAAATCCTAGAAAATTGCGATCCAAACACAATTATCTAGTGTATAGAATCAGAATGTCTACAGTCTCTCCATTCTCAACTACATAACAGCAATCCCAAAAGCCAATTTTATTACTACTTCTCATTCCCTTTCATTCTCATCCAAGTGAGTAGACAGTAAAAATTCAGGTCAAAAATAAAAAAAAAATCTCAATGTCTAGTCCGATATCCAACCACAATTATTCATTCGCTAATTAGTAATTACCACCAGCAACAGCAGGTGAAGTTTTTAACCACAGTTAAAAAACACTTCTTAACATAAAAAGGTGGCAAAAGGAAACCACCACATTAATTTCCCTTCTCTCCTCTGCACGCACAACATTCCACTTTGCCCAGAAAAGATTCAATATCGATTCACATGTCACAACCCACACGCCCCCAACAACACACACACACACACACACATTCTCTCATAAATACACACTTTTCATTCATTCATTCATCACTTTGAAACCCCAAAACACACACACACACACACACACAACACATACTTCTTCTCTGTTTTCTCACCAAAGGTAATGTGCATACCATCTTATCTTAAACACGCACTATACACGCTCAAAAACACACACATTTTACATATATTCTTCCCTTATTTAGATTCATGAAAACCCAGTGTTTATTTCTCCCAAAAATTCCAAAAGCATGAAAAACGAAAAAACTTACCTCTGTATATCAAAATTCAGACGCTGTTGCTGTTTCTCTCATGTAGATGAATATAAATGCTCTCATGGTTTCCATTTCTATTCTCATGCTTATATCCATTTCCATATCTTCTCATTTTCCATGTTTGTACCCATTTTTCCATAGTCTCGAAGCTTTCCCTTTTCATTCCTCAAAGTCAAGCATATATAAAAGTAAAACCCCTTTTAAACCCTCCTATATAAGAATCCGTTCTTCCCCCTTTTCTTTCTTGCTTGTTTTCTGCTGGATGATATTGTTCTTTTTTCTGGGTTTTCACAGGTAACAACGGGGTCAACTTTTACCAATGTTGCAGAAGAAGTAGCAGGGTCTAGACTCTGAGAGAGAGCTGGGGTTTTTTCTGGTTCATCCGAGTCAAATCAGTGCTCTCTTTTTCTGTTTTCTGCTTCGCAATTTTGCTTGAGAAAAGCACGGAAACTTCTTCTTCTTCTTCTTCTTTTTTTTGGTTCCCGAGGGATTGAAGGTGGTTTTTTATTTTCTTCTGGTTTTTGGTTGGAGGAATAAAATAATGGACGAGTTTAGTTGTAGTTGGGTTAAATCATTGAAGAGGCGGCGAACCTCTGTATTCTCGGCGACGTTTGCGGTGTTGATTCTCTTCCTTATAATCGTTGCTTTCGCCTCGCCACGGCAACGTTCAGGTCTCTTCTTCAATCATACTTGTATATAATCACCAGTTCCCAATATGATCTAATATAATAATAGTCCTTTTTACATATGTTTTGTTGATTTTTTAACAAAGAATTATTAGCCTTATCCTACCATTGAACAGAAGCCCTTTTTTTAATACCAAGGATTGTTTTTGTTGTTGTTTTTTTTTTTTCTTTTCAAAGCATTGATATGTTTGGACCGATTTTGTTTTTGTTCTTGAAAGGGATTAGCATTGGCTTAACTTTCAACAATAAGAGAAGCCCTTCTCTTTTGTACTGGGCATTGATGTCTATTTCCATCGTCTTTCTGCTGTAAGTTTTCAGTATTTGATTTTGATGGATAAGTGGTTGGAAATGATTCAGATGGGTTGTCTTCAAATGAGTCAAAAAGTGCATTGGATGGGAATGAGCCGAGAAACGAAGGGTTATTGTCTGCTGCATCCTCCTCACATAGGAAGTTGCTGAAGGTTCAGACTGATAGTGGTAAGCTTTTTTCTTCGTAAAGGCTTTTCTTTAATCAGATAGCATTGATTGTAGTTGTACTATATGTTTCGGATTCTAATGCAAAAATGGATAAGGAGCTACCCAAATGACCAAAAGTCTTTTTGATGATAGGCTCTGGACATACCATTCTGTTGTTTTCAATTAATTTTGTCTCTCAATCTCTCTCTGAATCTGATGAGTTGATATATGGATAGATGGTCTTCTTTTTTTTGTGCTTTTGAGGTGGGGGATGATAGGGAGTTGGGGTTATTGTCGACGCCATTTTTATGCAAACCCAACACCTACTGTCGCTGCTGCAGCTCCTGCTGCTGCTGCTGCTGCTGTGCATGCATAGACTAACACTACTGTACTGTACTGCACCTACTCACACACTCAGTCACTCAGTAGCACTACTACTACTGCTATCTGCCTTGTGGATGTGGGATATGTGCATATACTGATATACGTATGCGCTGAATTTGCCAGAAATTCCTGCTTTTCCGCCCTCTTGTTGGGTACTATTCTGTTCATGGATCCTGCAGGCAGCTTGTCTATTGCTAGTAGTGTCTTTTCTTCTCTTTCTTGCCTTTTCTTTTTACACTTTTTTGCCCTCCCTCGCCCCTGCATGGTTCTCTCTGTGTTTAATAAAGTTTGTTTTTTCTTCGTTACTTGTGTGAATTTTCTGGGCTTTGGAAGTTTATGGAATCAGTAGAATGAAACTGTTGTGACTTTTAAGATTTTGGAAAAAAAAAAAAATTAGTTTGCTGAAAAGGTACTACTCTGTTATGCACAACGTACAACATAAGGAACTCATATTATTGGGTTAATACTAGATTCTTTTTTTTCCAAGCCTTTTTTGATCATTTTTATTCCTGTTTCTGCACTCCATTTTGACATTGGTGCAGTTTTACCTCTTTCCTTGTGAATTGTATTTTATTATAGAAGAAAGGAAGGGGAAAAAGGATTGAAAGCTGAAACCAAGCCTCAATTCCCTATGATTATAGCCCTTTTTTTGGGTTGATTGGTCCCTTTCCCTTTTAGTCTTTACAAATTGCAACACTTTCCCTATTTTGTCATCTGTGACTTTCTCATTACCTGCTTCATTTCTTTCCCCATTCCATCTGTAGCTTCAATCTTTTCTTTTCTTTTTTTTTTTTTTTCCCTAACAAATTTTTGTAGTTGGACATAAAATACAATAGAATTCAAGGTAAAATGGTCTGGATTTGACTGGTACTTGCTTGAAATTAACTCTACTAGTAATAAAATAGTTCCATTGGCTGATGCGGGTGATTCTAACTTGTCTGCATGTGGCTGTCACTTTTACCACGCAGCAAACGGAGTGGAAACGCACCGGATATGGGGGGACAAGTGTTCCAACTCTGATATAGTCATTAATCAGGGCCCCACCGCCCCTTTGCCCAGTGGGATCCCTACTTATACTGTGGAGATCATGAACGTCTGCGTCACCGGCTGTGACATTTCCGGGATTCACTTGCACTGCGGCTGGTTCAGCTCGGCTCGGCTCATTAACCCCCACATCTTCAAACGGCTTCGCTTTAACGACTGCCTGGTCAATGACGGCAAGCCCCTCCTTAACGGCCGTACTGTTTCTTTCCAGTATGCTAACACCTTCCGTTATCCTCTCTCCGTCTCCGCCGTTATCTGCTGAGCTGCTGCAAACTTTCTAGTATTACCAGACAAACAGTTAATATTATTTTTTTTTTAAAAAAAGAGAGACTAATATAACACTTAAATACAAGCATATAGGCAACACAAAAATCTAACACTATTGGAAAGGTTAGCTTTAGAGGGAAATGATAAATGCTAAAGTATTTCAAAAAAAAAAATTTTGTTTTTGGTGTTTAAAGGTTGCAATTAACGTACAGTGTCCTCACTGTACGTTATGCTTCAAAAGTTGTACATTGCCTCGACACAATGTGAAATATTTTGGCTTTATTAATTTCCCTCTAAGGCTTTTCCTTTTTTTTTTTTTTTTTTTTTCCTTTTTAATATCCTGGGAAGTATTTTGGGAAGAGATGTATGGGTGGCACTGGATTTTTGTGATGGATGCTTTTTGGAATTGTATATGGAGTTATATATGGTGGATTAACCTTTTGGGCACTCCATTTTTTGGTGTAATAGTGAATTTGAGATGTTCTGGTCCTTCTACTCATATTCTGGTTTATGTACGAAAGATTGTGGTAGTTTGCAAGAAATCAATTGCGAAGATGGATATTTCATTTCCATGGTATTAGTAGAAATCACGGTCAAAACTGATCCCAATTCCATTCTTTTCGATTTCATTTGTTCAATTAATGAATTACGAGTGCTAGTTTTATTCAAAACTATTTCCTGAAATTGATACATGAGAAGGGGCCATGAAGTTTAGCCCTGCAGATGAGTTATATTACAGGTTATGGAGATTTTTTTTTTTTTTTTTTGGGTTTAAATGGTAACACATTCTTGGCAAATTACAAACATTTCAATTTTATTCCTCTTTTGCATCAACTGATAATTATTTTTCTTACTTGAAATCAAAGCAGCAATACCTAGTCATGAGCTTCTTATATTTTAAGATGTCCCCAGTTTAGGAGAATATGGGCTGAAAAAAGTACGCTAGTATTCATACATGCGACACGAACTTTTTCACTTGAGAAGTGGAGCATTTAGACTTCTGCTCAAGCTGAGAATTTCACTGGAAACCAAAAAAAAAAAAAAAAAAAAAATAAAAAAATCAGGGTTTCTGTACTTTATAATTTATATGGATAAGTTTGTCCGAGTATAACAACTATAATCACATGAAGACTTTACCACTTATGCGATTAACTTTGGGCTTGTTTTCAATTGGATTTTTAAAACTGATTATAGTTTCTGATTTTGGATGATTAGGTTTTCATTGTGATGTTATCGATTACTTTTGTATTCTGATTATATAATGTTTAGCTTTTGCAGTATAATTTGTTGGTTGAAAGCATTTGATTTTGATGTTATTAACTTATTATTACAAACTTTTATCCTTCACTGGAAAAAAGGGGAAAAAAAAAATATTGAGGGGATTTTGGGGCAATTGCGAGTCCGCGTCAGGAATGGATAAGAATTCTTTAAATTTGGGTTGAAGCCCAACCCTCTTATACTAGTTTTATTCACGCAGGCCTAGCCAGTTTTTGGCTCTTGGCTTACAAGGTGAAGTAGACGTTCTGATAACTCGGAGGAGCGGATTCTCAGTTTTCAGTCTTGATTGAGAACTCGACCACGGGAAAAAAAAAAAGAGAGAAAAATCAGTCATTTAAGCAAAACCTCACAAAGAGAAGTGTTTCAATAGCATAATTTCCCACTATAGGATACGTTGGCTAATGAGTGAATTAGGTCTGGTTTGATTCGGATGTAATTGCAGTTAGTCAGGTCCATGAGTATTGCAAGATGATTTGTATGTCTCGTACATATAGGGATAGTAAAATCCAATATCCATGGGTAATTTGATTAGATGACTGATGGATTATCTATCGGAGTTTGGTATTGATGAGTAGTTACCAATGCATAACCCGATAGGATTTGATAAGAGGACTCTAAAAACCTGATATATGAGATATATATAAATATGTGTGTGTGTTCCAATTTAATAGTTCGATAACATGTTTCGTAATTTTATTACCCAATAACATATAGTTCTGACCTAACATAAATAAAGATAATCATAATTAAAATAAAAAAAATGTTGATTTAACCCTTCATTGAATGTTGAATTTTTATCATGCAAGCTCTGTAGCTTTACACAAATTTAAAACTCAATATATGTGTTTATTTAATATGATGTACATGTATTGATTTTAGTTTAATAAACATTAATTTTTCTTTTTTAAACTATTCAACTTAGTGGATATAAGGTACTCGATGGGTAATCCAAACCCACGATTAAGAGGATTTGATAATGGAATTAAAATCAGTAGGATTACCCTATAGGGCTTAGTAAAATATTTAGATATGCAGGAAGAATTTGGTAAGAAAGATTTTTAGGGTATCCGACCCAATGCTATCCCTAATTACAAACAATACATAATCAAAACCTTGTCATTTGTTTACAAAATAAAGCGAAATTGGAAAAAAGAAAGTTGAGGTTGAATTGCAAGAGTAGAAATGACTAATGAGTCGCACTAAAGCATTTAGTATGATAATACAATTGGTGACATTGCACACTAATTTGACTCATTTTTGGGGTTGAACTCAAGTATCTTATCTTGTTTTTAAAAAAAAAAAAGTGAATAATGTATTTTATCTTAAAGAGAAGCCAGTAGTAGTACCTGGCAATTGGACGGGTTGATATTAGATTTTCACTTAAATAGGTTATACTCAATCCGTCAAACTTTAAATTAGGTTAATTTTGTATTGGGTCATCTCACTCCCTTAACCCAAATATGATCCAACATATTAATTAATAGATTTTGATACAGAAATTCTCTCAAATACATTTTTACATACAAATTTTTTTTTCACACACATAAACATTTTTCACACACACAAACACTTTCACAGATATAAACACACACTCACTTCTTAAGTTCTTTAGAAATACATTATTTTAATTTTACACGCACAAATACACTAAAATATACACTAATATACTTTTACAATACACACACGTACAACTGTTTAAACTATTTGGATGAACTCATTATTTTTTATACAAGTAAGGATTTTCAAGCTAGATATAGCTTTGGTCCAAACAAAGAGACCAAAGCAACAATTTTGGTCCAAGTTGGATATAGCATGAAAAAATGGCATACCAATATACGATTTTCTAAGTCTTGTTACTTGATTTAGCTTTAGCTGTACCAAACATATTTCTAGTCTCATAAAAGATCCAATCATGCCTTAAAGAAAGTTATAAACTGAAATTTTGATGCAAAAAATAAACACAAAAGAAACTTATAAACTATTTTCTCCTTGTTGCTGTGGTTATAAGTTCCTCACTGTTGCTATGGTTATAAACATGCTGCACTAGTATTGCATAATCTTTAGAAACATGATAGATTAATTCAAAATAGTAGTTTTGTCCATTAGCATAAATTAATAGATACATTCATAGAACAAGAAACAAATTATAATGTTTAACTAGTTGTATTATTAAACTCAAAAAGTTCTCATCCTCTCCGAGCTGCCACGCTCAATGCTTTCAAAGAACTCGCATACATCTCTTGCACCTACCTTCAAAAAAATCTGTCAAATTCATGAATTCAATTTTAGAAGAAATACAGTTATAAGCCAGTAAATTAGTAGGAAAATAGATTAGCCAAAAGCTTCTGAGATACAACAAAAAAGCTTTTGGATGGATAAGCATTTAGAAAGTCCACTATCATATGACATAGTTAACTGGTCCTTAAACAATGACGAGAAACATAACATCATGAATTTAGTCAGCTCAGTAGCCTCTCAATTCATACTCAAGAGACATTTCTTCAATTTTTTACCTCTTATATGATACTCCAGTATCATCAATCATTTCTGCCGTAATTAACTTGTCATTTCTTGCAAGCAAATATTCAAAGGATTTCCTCAGCCTGTTTATATCAAAAAGTCTCTGAATAGTCATGGCATTTAAAACATAGACTAAAGGCGGGCAACCAGCCAGAGTATCTTGAAACTACCAATTGCATTACAATTACCAAAAGTGACAGTCATGGAATCTAGAATTAAAGTATATATTTTAGACAAAAATCTTTCCAAAAGTTATGCTTTCGAATCAAGTCATGAGAAACACCACCAGTACAATTTGGCTTTGATAAACCATTAGCAGGAGCAAGCTGAAGGAGGCAAAGAACAACTAAATAATATCACGAAATTATAAGTGATAAGAAGCAACAATAAAGCACATAACTATATTCCAGGTTGTCATAATCCTGTTTGCTGATATAATGTGGCTGTACGAATTGCTACCATCTATTCCGATTTGGCATTATGAAGTACTAAATAAAGCTTTGTTCCATTTGACCATTTTAAGATTCTTAAATAAAATCTGCATGCGATAACTCAACAGGATGCATTTGAAACTCTATCTTGGTTGTCTTGAGGAGAAATTCCATTTCTTGTAGAATGTTTACTACTGAATTCTGGTTTGGAAATTGAGTTCTAAAGCTGGTGATATTTCTTGTTCTTTTTTGGTTGGTCTAGGACGGGAAGAAAAGATGGTCATGGAAATTGAGTCATATAACTTGTAGAAACATTTCCATGTTGCTCCAGCTTGATTTTCCTTATAAAAAGACACATTCTTCCTCTTTCGTTGTCATAAAGTGGCTAAGATCTTGTTGATGACACAAACATTAGATACTTATCATGTGACCATTTCTAGTATTGCAGTCATATAATGTTCTCTATCCTTCAAGAAGTGATCAGGTTTTATTAATGTTGATTGACTGACACAAAGTCAAGGCATTGTCTATTTGGCCTGTCTTTTTTTCACATGGTCTTTAACTAAATCCCTTCATGTTAACTAAATTCTTTCCATCTCCAGTCTCAATATTCAAGGTCTCAAAGAAATCAAACCCATGCATTCAAATCAAAGCACAAATCACAACTCTAACTAAAATAACAGTAGAAAGCAATAACAAGTATTCTAAAATAACAATGAGTTCACATGACATACTTCCTAAGTATCAGCATTTGAAGATGCATCTT